CGGGAGCTACTAGTAGCTTCTTGCTCCTAGTAGCGATGCCCTTTGTTACTAGTGGCTTCTTGTTGCTAGTAGTAAGGCCGGGAGCTACTAGTAGCTTCTTGCTCCTAGTAGCGATGCCCTCTGTTACTAGTGGCTTCTTGTTACTAGTAGTAAGGCCGGGAGCTACTAGTAGCTTCTTGCTCCTAGTAGCGATGCCCTTTGTTTCTAGTGGCTTCTTGTTGCTAGTAGTATGGCCTACATCCGCTGTTTGATTGGTGTTGCATGCCATAGGGGACTACTACATCTTTTGTGCATAGATCAGAGTGTCTTACACAAAGCGGACACCGTTTCACGGTGATCGTCCGCTGCGAGTGATAGTTCCTAGTAGTACGGCCAGGAGCTACTAGTAGCGTCCTTGCTCTTAGTAGCGATGCCTTTTGTTCCTAGTAGCTTCTTGTTACTAGTAGTAATGGCCTCCAACCTACTTGCGATGGCCTCCACCTAATAGCGTCCTTGCTACTAGTATTTCATGCCGTTGTCAAAGACCTGAAGCGGATTGGATCCATCCGCGCGAAAGGCTCCGCACACGATCAGAGACTGACGCGACGCCGCTCCTAGCTCTGGCTGCACTTCCACATGTTCAGACTTGGATCACGAATTCGTGGCAGGCGCAGCACTTTGTGGTGATGATACTTGGAGGGCTCAGATTCCGTGTTAGGCAGGTCTCATGACCGTCAGCTTTCAGCGAGGTCTCACAGGAAGGCCGCCTCGTTGGGAGTCTTCGAGTTTCAGGCTCAAGACATTGGCGCTGACGGTGTGGGCTCGCGTCCTCAGTGTTTTCAACGGGCATGTTTTGTGATTGGCCGCATCATTCTGATAGCATTGCCAGGAAGCTGATAGAAGATTTCTCATGCAGCGGACCGCCACGTTCAACACATGACCTGTTCGAAGATGTTCACTGTGGGGCCCAGTTCGATGTCTGGGGCTCTGCATGGAACTGCAGTGGTGGAACTGTTGGATCTCAAACTTCTGTGAGGCACACCACTGATTGCCTGGTCCTTCCGAGAGTCGGGTTCTATCTCAATGTCCACGGCTTGGTTTAGGGCTTTGCGGCAAGAAGCGTTTGTGAAGAAGCTTCTTGCCTGGCCGAAGCTCTTCGTTTGTCGAGATGACTTGGAAGAGTTGCTGGAAATTCCACAGCGAACAGTGAAAGCGATTTCAACATTGGTTCATATAGGGGTGGGGTTGGAAATCGAGCTTCGTTGCTCATCCAATGCGGGTTTGTTCTAGGAAAATCATATCAAACATCACATTCAACGGGTTCCAAATATGTAGGATATGTGACATAGAAAATACAGCTTAAATGGTTGCAACTTGCACTGATATATAACTGTTCTTGATAGCTGTGCAATCAGTTCATCATCGCTGAGCATACTTACTTGACAAGGTACGAATGCTGTCAAGCACTGGCGCTCCTTTGTTCGTTTGCTCAGGAAGGTTTGGATGGTGGATGGAACGCATTCTAAGGGTGGGACCTGCATGCACGCAAAAATAATTCGATCACGAAACTCTGACTGCCAGGGTGGCGCAGCCCCCACGCCCGAGCACCCGGCGCACCCCGCGGCGGAACGCCTCTCGGTGCCACTGCGAGTGCTACTGCGGGTGGCCAAGGCAGCGGCGGCAGAGAAAGGTGACGAGGCAAGGGCATCTGGGATTTGGAAGAAGGAATATAGACTAGAATGTCCTTCCAATCTACTCCATCTTCCACACTTCGTTTGCCCAATCGGCGAAGCTTTGTCTGGTCTTCACACTTCGGCGTTCTCGATCTGCGCAGGTGGAACTGGTCCATGGGCTTTTGCAGCAGCAGCTCTTTCCCTTCATGCCCAAAGGCCGATGAAAGCGAACAGGACGTTCACGACCACGAACGCGCCGTGGTTGTCCCGAGCTCCGACGAACTCGGGACAGCTGGTGCAGCTGGGTGAGGATTCGGACCGGGACCCGCATGGCCCACCCGTTGGACCGGATTCTGCGTTCCTGAAGGCATCTGTGGATTCAATTTCATTTTCCACCCCTTCCTTGGATTGAACTCGCTTCCGAGAAAACAGACATTAAAGGCCGAGAATGGAAACTGTTTTTTTTCAGATTGTTTGGAAAAGCATTTTGCATATGCCATGGCTGTTGAAAGCCCAAGTATATGAATCAAAATGGCCGGGTGAGACCCGGCCTCATGCCGAACCGCCTCGCCTCATGCCGAACCTGTTCTCCGGCAGGCGAGCGCAACAAGCTGGTGGCGCAACTCTCAGAGCACTTCCCCCAGGCTGCGCCCTTGGCGGCAGAGAGGGCGCTGCACAAGGCCTCCAGGCCCGCTGGTGCCACCACAGGGCCCGAAAACGGTGGCACCCTGGTTGTAGGTGGCGGTTTTGGTTGGCAGGCTGCAGTGCGTTGAGTGCATAAGGAGAGAGGATGTAAGTGGACAGGGGTGGTGGGAAAAAGATGACACATGTCAACTGCAACAACTCGTCAGTATCATTTTCATGACACACTGATCAGCTGATCTCAAGCAATCGCGTTGGCCCAATTTTGCCAGGCAGACACAAGCGGAGACCAGTGCTTTGTCAGCAGCCAAAAAGACAGAAGGTTTTGTTATTTGACTTCTACATGCACAAAAGCTTATGTTTGAATAAAAACAGGGCAGGTTCCCACTGGAAGGACTTTTATGATGCCTCTCAATCTATCTAGCAACGGTTTCACCCAAATGGGCGGGCCACTGGTGTTTACTGGGCCCAGTCAGGTCAAGTCTACATGTGGTTCATTCTCAAGAACGCTTTGGGAACTTGGGTTCTTCCACTGTCCATCACGTCTATTGATCCTGCCTTCGGATCTTTCTAGTTTCCAACCTCGCGTGAGAAGAATGTAGAAACACATGAAAACCACCAACGGTCACAGAATCCAGGTACTCTAGTTTCCGACCCCCCCCACGAACCTCGTCCTCCCGTCTTCTTCTCTTACTCTGACGTCCTCTTGAGGCGTCCCTGCTGGCCACGTGCGCTTTGGGACCTTTTTGGCCCCCATGGGAGAGCCGAAGAACCCCGAGCTGGTGCGTTCCACGGGCCGAACGAAGCGGACGGAAAGCGGTCCACGCCCGGAACTCGCCACGGCTCGGATAAGGCAAGTGTAGGTAAGAGAGTCCGGTTTGTAGATGAGAGCAATCTCTTTCCGGTGGGTTTTGTTGGTTTTCGGCTGTGTATCCACGGATGCTGGACCCTTCAGGCTTCGTTTGTGCTGCTTGGAAGTGATGGACCGACCCATTTGGGCTGCTTGGAAGTGGGGTAACAAGGTGCTATTGTGCTGCCAGGCTGGAGTAAACCGAGAAAGTGATATAGCAGATCTATGAGCTAGGTCACCACACGTAACCACGTGTACACTCAGACACTAACATGGAAGTAAAGAACACTTGTGTTAGTCTTCCAGGGGATCATGCCGTCCACTGCCATGTGAGCTTCGTCAGAGTATTATCAGTCTCATCACCTGTTCGATATGTCTTGTTTTCCACTGTCAGTGAAGTCACTGAGTCATGAGACCTGGCTCATGGGAAGACCGGAGCTCGTCCGGCCCAAACGGTCCGGCGGCTTCGAGAAGCCGTGCCCGTCGTAGGTGCCGGCGGTGGATTTTGTGGGGATCGATCGACACGTGGACTTGCTGGAAGAGCTGTCGAAGGCGACTGGAGCGAAGAGCTGGTGGTTGTCGATGGCGCAATGACCTCCATTTTTTGGGTGGTGCACCAGCAGGGCCTCCATTTTGTTTGGGACATCAACAGGGGTGCACCATGAAAAACCTGTGAAACGTGTGTCTCATCGTCGTGGGAGTAACCTCTTATAAAATCAGGGGTACCAAAATAGCTACTCCAACCGGGTTTTTTCTCTATAAAATTGGGCCCCCATGATTGACCACAAATAGCTACTCCCGGATGGATGAACCGTTCATCACCGACTTCGGGCTGAACCGTTTCATCCTCCGACATCTCGGACACAAGCCGCGGAGAGGGACTGTAAAGGAGAGGGACTGTTGTGGCTTGTAAAGGACGGGTGTCACTTTTGGAGGCAGAAAAGGGTGTTGGACCCTACAGCTCCCAGTTGCCGGTGTGGTGATTGACTGAGGGATGATGTAGTTGGATTGTCCCAGTCTTCCTCTCTTACCTGCACCTCAACCCCGCTTGCTTTTGTGGCGACCTGAACCTCATACCAACAGGAGTAGATCGAGTCACTGGAATGAAAAGAAATGAAAAGAACGCATTTTGGTATACCTGAATCGGATCAATGGATGGATGCTGTCAATGGATCGGCGTCGAGTCGACCGAAGGTCGTTTGAAAGCCCTTTTTGGTCGAAGCAAAGGTCGTCTTCGACAATGCATGGAGCGAAAGTCCCTGAAAGACCCTTGTACAAAGTAGTGGGGAAGTTGTTTGAAGAAAAAGGCACGGAACATTTGAGAATCGATCAAAACCATTGGAAGAAAAGTAGATGCAGAAAACCCATTGGAAGGCACATGAATTCATATCCTCCTTCTCCACATCTCTCCAACTCTCCGTGGCTCGCCATGGCGCGGGTCGGATCATTCTATGGGCTGCTGGGTGTGACGACAGAAGCCACGACGGAAGAGATCAAATTGGCCTTCAAACGACGTGCCTTGCAGGTCCATCCGGACAAAGGCACGATGTCCGAGGAGCAGAAAACGAAAGCCCAGCGACTATAGGGCTCCCCGATAAGATGGCATAAGGAAAAGAGATGGTTTAGGCCATCTTAGATTAATTAGTAGGGTATACAGATGGTGTTCATGTAACATGGCATTCCAGGACGAATTGATAAGTTTAAACAATTA